ACACGGTGCAATATCCCGCTGCGGGCGGATTAGAAAAATGTGTGGGTGTCCTAAGCATAGGTGTGTAGGCTTGTGTATCTCTTCTTTCTCTTTTCATCTCTCTCCCTCTCTCTCTCCCCCCAACTATCTAGACTCCACCATACACCTCGTGTCCAGATATGGCTGCCATACCGGTCCAGCTTCTATACGACTTCCACAGCATCCTCGGCGTCGGTCGACTCTCCGAGTCCTTGACGCCCACCGTAAGCAACCACGACGCAATGCACGACATCGACACGTTCGAGGTGCAACGGTGCATCCATTGTATGCATCATTGAAACGGTAGAAACCGACGCGTCTTACGTAATTGAAGAAGGGAAAACTGCATTACCGACCGAGATGAAAGTACACGGATACGAGGCATAGTCCATAAAAAAAAAAAAAAAAAACGTTATCACATCCAACCTAACCAAATCTCACGTATAATTTTATCTGACCTAACCTAAAATACGTTCATTTTAAATTCCCCATTCCATATGCACGTGACCCTACTTTTCACCTTGTCCAGATGCACTTATGGTCTTTGTTAAAGATACCTGGTTTACATATACCACGTATACCTGTATACCCTGTGTATAGTATATAGACGCTATATATTATGCCAGGTTAAATCCTAGACAGCCCTGGTAATCCTTAGCCCTGGGGTCAAGCAAAGTCGAGCCGAGCTGAGCCGAAGCCAAAGCCGAAGCCAACCCGAGACAGAGATCGTACCGATACGAAATCCTGCTTGGGAACTCTGGTACTTGTACGACTTGTATATCCCAGGGAGGTTTGTATGCTCTTGGCTTGTATGCACGACACACACATATATATATATATATATATATTATTATATGGATGCATATGTATATACAAGGCCGGTACCTTCGTGAGGTTCACTTGCATATATATTATGCGGCCAAAGTCGTGCCCGGTTAACGTTACGAGAGACAAAGCGTTCCGGATAGTACGTGAAGATAGCTGAAACCCGTGACTCTAGACGTATGGATACGTGTAGGAGCATCGGATGAAGGGGGGTATGTAGGAGATCTCCTTTTTTAAGTTGAACTTAAGATGGAAGAGTTTCGGATGGGCAGGATCGTTGCTCTGGTTTCTTCGAGGCAGAGGCAAAGAAAATTTTAATGCGGATAAAAGATGATGATGGGGTAAAAAAGAAAAGTGGAGCAGGGGGAAAGTCGAGACGTCGTGATAAAAGTCGACGCGTCTTGAGCAACGGTAAGTCCCAGTGTAAATAAGACTGAACAAACTCGAATTATCTGGGCCCTGTAAAAATTCCTCGACTTGGGTACTGTGGTGGAGGGGGGGTAGGAGATGGCAGTTGACAAAGGGCCCCCTTCGTACGCACCCATTATAACCAGGCTGTTATCGTTTTGTTTGATTATAAAAGTTTCGATAAAGTGGAGAAAAAAATATTGAGAAAAAAGATAGCGTCTAACGCGTGAAGTTAGCTTCGTTCGAGATATCGTTCGATCAATTGAACTTGGTTCGGTCGAGTTTTTTTTTGCTATTTTCTCGAGAGGAGAACAAGATTGTTGGTCATTGTTGGTATTTCATGGCCGCCAACTTCACTGTGGTTCTTTATATCGTTTGAAAAAAAAATTGAATAAGATTTTTGTTGCTACTGTTCAATTTTTGTTATCGTTATTCAGTAGTAACGAAAACAATAGTTGTTGCATAAATGGAGAGTACCTTTAATAACGTGGAGCGGAAGGCGGTTTATTTGAATCGTGCAAATTTCTATGGTCAAGATCCAATTGAACGTTCTTCGACGAGTCGTAGATCGTTGACCATAACGAAATAACAGATCTAGGGATTTTTTTCCTGGCCTAGTACTTTTCATAAAATATTTTCACCAAAAGTCAGTCTACCGGAGTATGAGATAACGAGGTACGATGTTTCTATGAAACTAATGGAAATCGTAAGAGAGATCGCGCAGCCGGCAATGGCGACTGGATGAGTAATAATTTTAATGGAAATAAAGCTTTACATCGAGAAAGTGACGTACGATAATTAATTTAATACGCTGGTCACTTTTGTTTAAACCAAATTTTTTTTTCTTACTATTGATCTCATTACCGATGCATCCACACGTCACTATCGCATTACTCACACCTATAATAAAGCGTCGAGGCGCGCTCGAGTTTAACCTGAGTTTAACCTCATTCCTGTTCGTGACGTCAGACGTCGCCTTTCCCTCGATTCTGGACCTCCGGGATCTACGAGATGTGCAATCGGCCGCAAATCATCTATTATAATAATAGTCACGCGATATCCAAGACGCGCTTCTCCTATGTCGATAACACTGTTCGCGTGATTCCACCAATTTCTTTTTTTTACCCGAAAAAAGTTGGCAACATCGACGAAGCAAATTACGGACACGAACCACGCAAAGATTCCCCCATTGCCATCGAAGCAAGACACGAGTAAAGATTTTTCATATTCTTATAAATGAAGATTAAAATTTTTTTTCCAAAAACTTGGCAGCCTTGAAGATACAGTTTCAAGATCTTGTTCACAGAGATACATTTCCGTGTCAATTTCTACTGAGTCATACTGTCAAGGTTTTTAATATTATCAGTGGCAATATTAAAAAAAATTTTTTTTATCAAAATATAGGTGGCAGCACTGAACGAGCAAATTGCAGATAGTGTATACAGTGATATCACTGCTTTCGTCTATATGTCATAAGTCAAGAATCTGAATGTTCTCATCAGTGACGTTTCCAAAGCGTCTGATCTCTGACAATAATAGAAAAAAAGAAAGTAAATTCAAAAAAGAAAAAAAGGCAGACCACTCAATGTCCAAATTTATTCTTCTAGGTAGGCACCTATATACCATAGGCATTTTTGGGCCTTGATGAAGCAGGTGGAATCGTGGACAGAAGGATAGAGGGTTGGCGTCAATACCCTCTAACTAAGGCGGGCCTTATGGGGCCCCTAAAGGGCCCGAACCCCGTACCCCCTAACTAAGCTTGAATTCACGGTCGGACCCGGCAAGGCCATCCAGGGATGCTCGCACGCCATGTTCTACACGAAACAACTACACAACAGTCTTGATTTTGTAGTCACTTTTATGGTCCATTCAAATGTTTCCCGCTAGGATACGTTGTCACGTGACATAAGAGATAACTTCAATACTTCCAAATGATAAAACTCCTAATCATTATCTACTTAGCCATTTAGTGTCTAAAAAAGAAATTACAAAAAATTTCGATCTCATACGACTTTTAATATCTTGAGTACCAAAACATTTTTTCAAATTTTCCGACCCCGCTTTAACCTCCCACGTCTTAAATGCCATAACATCTAGAATCAAAAATGCAGAAATTGCAAACGGTTTTTGTTTACAAAAAAAAAACTAAAGGTTGCTGTTAGTTATCACTCGTCGAAATTTTCACGGTTAGTCCAAATTTTCTGACGTCATTGCATTCTACCTACGTCATAAAGCCTCAGAATATTCAGAATGTTCTAGAACGTAGGAAGGAGTGCATGCAGTTTTTTTTGTTGGTTAGGTCTCTAGGTGCATATATGTATATTCTGTGTACATGCATATATATATATATATATATATATATATATATATATTACGTGGGTTATATAAAGCAAGTAGCCAAAGAAGGTATTCTCTTCGGAACATACGGGATGATGCAGCACTGAATTATTATTACTATATACCCGGTGTCTTCTTAATTTGACTCCAGCTACCTCACAGCAGGGTAAAACTTACGAGACGAGCTTATGAGATATTCATGTGACTTATGAGTGATGTTCGGGGTCGAAAAAAAATGGTTAGAGCCCTCCAACGTCATAAGCATCTCGAGAGAGAGAAGGGCTCCAAGAACTAGTAATACGCCCCTGTCGAATAAATCATACAAGAAAAAGAGACGGAAAATATTCGAATCAAGTTCTAATAGAGATACAAGGATTTTTAAACCTCAGAAAAATTCCGTCAACAATTCGTGTCCGTTAAATTATCTCGGTAGAATATTTTTTTTTTAAATTTGATTTTTTTTACCCAACTGTCATTGCTACTATTGTCAGGATTTCTTAACGGGTTCCTGTCATTATCCTGTTCGCGCATCCAGCTTCCCCGGCAGATGTCATATGCTTCGCTCCGAGCCAATGTTTTTCGAACGGTCTGTGGATTAACCAGCGCATGCCGGCTTCTTATCCCGGCGTTCAAGTCTCTGGGCGTACTAACCGTTCGGATAACACCCAGGCAATGTTGCAGTCGCCGTCGATCGTTCGGCGCGTCGTCGCCGGTCTCTCGAAGAAATTCCTGACTTGCGTAATTCACGCGTAAAAGCTTCGCAACGAATGCGCGCGCCGATTGGCCGTTTACCGTTTCTACGAATCCGCGTAAACAAGGAAACACTACGAGACGATCATCGGTCCTCTATTTGCATACAACATATGTATATACATATAAGAAAGGACAGATCGACTCGAAAATGGCAAAATAATCCTACGGTAATTTTTTTTTTTTCGACGATCTTATCAAAAGATTTGATAATAATTAACCTAAATTTCAATCACAACGATAATAACAATAATTCCGTGCAGTCGAGATCGTAAATTTTGAAAATAATTTTTTTCCAAAATCATAGTTCGTTTTGGAAATTAATATAAACGATCTTTTCTAGCGGGTGACGTTTTGTAAAATTCATTTTTCCTTCAGGTATATATGGAAACGTGACGTTAGGCGTGTCTTGTGATTCTTCTGCAGAAATTGTATACAGATGATACACTGCATATCTGTGTGTATAGATGATACACGGCCTACTTCGCAGCTAAATGTTCAGGAACTTTCATCGAGTATTTTATTCCGGTAGAGTAGTATTAGGTATTATCGTTGTTATCATTTTGATTGATTATACTAAGAGTGACACGTACGAATGACAGATACCGCGTATGCAATAAATAGTAGATATATGTATCAGGCATAATGTAGGATTTACTCACAATTTTGTTGTTCCGTGTAAAAATAAAATTTTTGTCACTATCCAAACTCGAAACACTGGTAATTAAAATTTTGTGTTTTATCACAAGAGAAACTTCTGTCACGATGACTTCTTAATCCGTGTATGAAATCAGCAGGTCTCTACTGTCAGTTATTTTGCGAACCACTTGACACTTTGACACGACTGGGGAAAACTTTTAATGACACTTGACCCAGGTGGAACACTGTTAAATGACTTTTGAAAAAATCATTATCCTTAAGATGGTACAGTGATCGGTAAAACTTTATTGTTTACTTCCGAAAGTCATCGTGCAACGACGAAAACAAGTATTTCGAAAAAGTGACAGGAGAATTCGAAAAAATTGTCAAGCTACATCACGTGGGTGAAATTGGTAAATAAAACTATTGCCCAACACTGTACGAAGCACCTAGTCCACTGTCACTTTGTAGGATGAATCCAAGACGATCACGAAACAGGTGTGACGTGGGTAGAATCGAAAAATAAAATATCACAAAATTGTCGAAGATTGATAACGATATGAAATTTTGTAAAAAAATCCGACTATCACTAAAAAAAAACCGTGTCCATGTGTATCAAAAGAAAATTCAAGCACCATCCATACCGATCATAACGCTTGTTTCCTAAGTCATCCTCACGTCATTTCATCTTTATATATTTCACGTTAAAATCCGTATTCACACGTCTCCAAAGATAGTCAAAGATAAGAGACTGTCTGTTATCACTGTCAAACAACAGATCCCAAGTGTAACGTAAGCAGGTAAAGAAATTTCGAGACACCAATTTTTTTAACTTAAAAAGTCCATGATTCACGAAAAAATTTAAATAAAAAATCACTGGTAACACTTTTTTTTTTTAAATTAGCTATTTTCCAAAAACTTATATATCTAAGTGTCCTACGATCTTACAGTCCGCGCGTCTCACCTTGCGGAGTGAGTCTACGGGGCTGCCATGCAATGTGGCTCCACGCTGATCTCCCTTCACTTCCCCACGAGCGTCCCTTTCTTCTACCTTCTACCTTCTACTGCCATTGCCACCACTACCGACACCACCACCACCACCACCACCACGATTGCCACCACCACCATTGCCATCGTCACTACCGATCTCCCAAGAGGCAGGCAGGCAGGTAGGTAGGTAGGTAGGTAGGTAGGTAGGTACCTCACTTCTCTAGAGTGAGCCTGTACCTACTCCTACTCCATCTCTAACAGCATCAGCACTGTACCACTACTACAGTGCACAGTGCTCTACTGTACTGATACCAACACAGACTCACCTGGACCGAACCAGTCTACTACCACGAGCACCTTTGGACTTCTCCCTCCACCCCATCTTACTCCCTCCTTACCACACCATATGAAGAAACAGGAGAGACAGCTTCTACATACTTTCCAAGACGTCTCTGCTCCTTCTTGATCTCTGCTTGATCTTTTCTAGCCAGGTAGAAATTTATGGGGTAAGAGCAACGAAGGAGGGGGGAGGGGCAGATGCGGTTTCAGGAGGATCCAAATAACATAGCTTTTAAAAATCCCTGGTCGACCTTAAGGGTTGTTTCTACGTGAACATGTGTTTCTCTTGGAGATGAACAATAGTTTTCATTTTAATACAGTAATTTTTCAAATTTTTCGACATATCACCTAACTCATGTGTGACGTATTGCACGAGAATAACTCAGGGGTTAACGACAGTTCAGAGTAAAATTAAAAAATTTCCTTAAGGGTTGTTTTTGATCCTTTCCAAAATGTTTCCCTCCAGTACGATGTTAAACCCTGTATATCCAAACGCTATGCTACCTACGAGTTTTATTTTTATTTCCTCCCCAAGGGTACCCTGCCTCTAGGGGCAGTCTTGTCTTCCCAGCAGGTGCCTATCCCATACTTCGGCAATAGGTTTGTAATACGGACCTGGGTCTCGGGTCCCACCCCCTTGCGCATCCTAGCGAGTGCCAAAGATCCTATTGTCCCGGCGAAGAGGTTTCGCCATTCCCAGGTATTGTTTGACCCTCTCGAAATCCACGGGGGTCAACTCACCGCGTTAAGAGGGATTACACTGGGAGAACAATGGCTGCGAATTCGGGGTGGAAAAGAAGCGTAAAGACCATTTGTCAAGTTAGCCCGAGACTGACGAACCGACGCCTGGGGTTACCGTATGAAAACTAGTCCAGCCCAAACCCAACTTGAACCCACTCTTTTTTTAACTTCTTTCACCGAAAAAAACCCACAGAGGGGCAGCAATGCTCTTCTTTTGTTTTTTCCACTCGGACTGGCCAATCGATCCACTGGATGAGGATCGCACCCTCACCCAACAACCCCCTTGGCGCAGGGTAGTTGCCTACCTGGACTCATCTCTCAAATCCATTTACGACGCCACTCGAAAAGACCTATGGGCGTGTTTCCATCAAAGAGAGAGTGTGGAAAAAAAAGTGAGAGAGAACTGTTAGCGACTACTTGCGATCCTGTTGCTACCGACTACGGAAATGGCGTCGCTAAATACGCAAGGAGCGTTTGATAGTCTGACGTCACGAGGAATCAACAAGTGGCAGCAGCGTGGTCGGGCTGGGGCCTAAATTTAGCCCGAACATAACCTCACCTTGATCCACTGGTTATAATACAAGCTAGGGTATACGTGTGTATATATGTATATACTACTGTTAACCTCATCCAAAAGTATTCCTATATATGTATATATATACTGGATTTTGCGATTTAGTATGCTGCTTCTCTTACCTAGTCCGAGGTACTCCTGCACCGGAGTCATTATTGCCTAGTTCATACGACTCTGGTCTACCTGACTGTCCTAACGTGAAACTTTGATCCTGCGATCTTATCCCTGATTTTGAATCAGATAAGAATTGATTTATAAGGTAGGAATTTTGAGGGGCGTACCGGGGTATGAAATTTTTCTATTTTTCTAATATTTTCATTTTATTATTATTTCGTTAAATTGTTTATTCGGTGTTTTGGAAATATTTTTATTTTTACTCATTATCGCTACGTATCTGTTGTACGCTGCCGTAAGAACTCGATCTGGCACGAGAGTGACAAAAGTGCCCTGGGGCAACTCCATCCACCTCCAACGCCAATACTCGAGTTCCATGACTCTCTACAGCGTAGTAGGTACCTCCCACCCTGGGAGTCAAAGCAACGTCCTGGAGCACGGGTAATGTGGCTGTTCGGTAGAGAATACCGGTCTGGGACAGTGGCGCCGCTCGTGAGGATTTCTCGAAGAGAAAAAAAATCTAGGAATCGTTACGGACCCCTGCTGACCTCAGGATCCTCGTGGAATTCAGATCCTCATGGCAACCGAGGGAGAAGACCTAGAGATCATCTTCTGGGGTAGGGTACGCCGAAGGAATTTTGTATGGGGTACCGAGGTGTGAAAATCAATGAATTTTTTGAGGAATTTTCATATTCTGGGTCTAACGATGTTTTTTTTGGAATTTCAATTTGCGTTAGGGATTCTTAGCGGTGCGTTGGTATACCTGCACGGGAAATTTGACTGGCACTTGCGATCGGTGCACTTCGCGGTGTCTGGGGACTAATGATGGCGGGGATGACGAAATTTTCGAACGCATCGTCGTCGACTAGTCGCCGCCATCTTCCTAGAACTCGTTAATAATAATAATACCAATGTAAATTATTTATTTTCTTCATTTGCACGACGGGCAAATGTCTGTTTTGTGTGGTACGTGACTCTGCAGTAATGAGTGCCTTGTGTATCTCTGGTTTCTGTGAAACTATGAGTTTGACAGTTTTGTTTCACTATTGCTACAGGCTTTTACAAAATCCATTCGTTTTTGGAAAATTTTCAAAATCGTTATTCGATTTAAAGTCAGATAATTTTGATTTTATAATAAAGATTTTTTGGAAATTTTTTCCTTTTTTCCAGTAAAATTATTCCGTATCACGTTTAATGTTCATAATTACGAACTCGTATATGACGAGTGTATTAGACTACAGTGCTTTTCAAAATATTAACTCCTTTTCGCAACTTGACATTTTTACATTATCTATCTATATGTCTTCCTCCCACGAATACGTCCCACGACCGCAAAACGTTCAAGCGGCCAATATTTGCGGAAAGCAAAGAAACTGCAAATACGGGCGCGGTTTTGAACGTCTAATGGATTCAAAAATAAGAGATCTCTCGTGGACCGTAGAAAGAATGCTGCCAAGGAGATACGAAGAACGAAGAAATATATTCGCGAGTATTCGCGCCCTTGCCTAAAAATCCGTAAAATAAAAAGTCCAAAAAAACCTCCTCCAAAAATTTTCAGTTTTTTTCCAAAAATTGCATTTTTACGTGAAAAACAAATTTCCGACCAAATTTCTACACCGACGTAAGACCGCGCTGAATTCTACCGAGAACCCAAAGCGCCTTTTGGGCGAGTTTTTATACGAGATTGTCGCAGAGAGCGATAAGGGCGAGTTTAAGAGACAACGAGCCGAAGAAACTTTTAAAAGTCAGCGATTCCTGCGCGGATCGCAATGCGCGATCGTCGCGTCCGACCAGATGCGCCAGCGCCGCGTTCGTAAAAACGATCTTAAGTTTCGGCACTTTTTCTCGAATTACCTGGGCATAAGTGGGAATATGCAACAGGCGATGGTACGTGCCCGAGCAAAACCACGTCGAATCAAAACATTAGCTTTTTTTTCTATTCCTTTTTTTTTCTCTCTCTTTTTTTTATTACACATGCGCGCGCGCGAACGATCGTCCACGGCAAGAACGAGTCGGCGAACATCGGGGATAACAGGTTGGTACACCTGCCGGCAGCACGTTGCGGGCTACGTCTCACACATAATGTATATATGTATATACAAACGCATACATATTATATATATCTTACATATATATATTTCAAGATTTTTTTCTACTCATCAACTTTTTTTCTCTTTTAACTTTTTCGAGAGCACTCTGAAATGGAGAGCACTCTCTGGAATGTTCATTGTACCTGCATACTATAGATATAGCTATAAGCATCGGTATGCTATAAACGGTATGCTATATACCCAATGGTACTAAGGCAATGGAATTATTATTTTTATAAATACGAATGAAAAAAGACGTGTTTAAAATTTATCAAGTAACAATAAAATTTTTGAAAAAAATAGAGCATTTTTTTAATGGCTCTTAGAGAAATTAATATTCCTTTTAATTCCAATTTTTGGGTCGGATCGAACGTATATAATTATTTCGATATTCACGATTTCCATAAGTGGACGACCTAGCCGATTTATGGTGTACGTAATGGACTGGCTTACGAAAAAAAAGTGGATTCTTTGAGAAATTTGAATTCCAAAATATGAGTCGCGGCAAGAATTTACGGGCATCTCGTTCACTCCAGATCTTCCTGTTTTAACTTCTAGTTGACGAGAGAGCAGCGGAAGGTACATCACCTTCGCGTGTTTACCTCTTGGGCAACCGGTTTTCATCTTGGTAGAGTCCAGCCTCCTGGTACAGCTAGTAGCCGTGTAGTATATACGTATATAGTGCATACACATATATGGTGATAATAACAGTGATACTAGTAGTAGTGATACTAATAGTAGTAGTGTGTATATACGTGGCGTATGCCACTAAGGAATTTTTTATCTTTCTTTTTACTAACATTATATTTTTTCTCTCTCTCTCTCTCTCTCTCTCTTTCTCTCTCTTTGACTTGTTATCGTAATTTTTCATTTTCCTCGTGAAACTTAAATATTAACGAACAACGAATCTCGCTTGCGGACGAGTCACCTAGCCTGTTATGACATTTAAAAAAAATCTTTCTGCTTTTTTTGTCTTATTTGTTTTTCGATAATATGCAATTTTATACTTGTCATGCATATGCAAATGTGTTACGTAAGTATATCACGTATGTGCTTCGGTAACTCGTGTTCTTATCTTTGGTATATTTCATATGGGCAGACCGATAGGTAAGTACCTACTGGGTAATAAGGTAGGATATGGACACTATGATAAAGAAAGAAAAGGCAAAGGATAAAAATAAAAAAAAAATAAAGATTCCCGATAGATATTTTTCTTTCTATTTTACGATGTTTGTCATATACTACCCGATATAGGTATAGTTTGTGCGACGTATGGATATGTAACATTTGTTTACGTAGTGGATAAAAAAAAGTATCTTTTATTTTTTGATATTTCGAAAACTAGAAATATTGTTTTTCGAAAATCT